AAAGGTGGCTGAGCCTTTTGACTCGTACAGAGGAATGCTTGTCACCTCTGAACTCTCAGAATTAGTCAGCTTCCTGTGTCTGGGTGAGGAATCATGGGTGTGGATTTTCCATAAAATGAGGAAAATACATTAAAATGTCCCTGAAGCAGTGGAATTCTTTTTCCTCTGTTTTGACTTGAGGACAAAACCAGAGAGCAGTGTAAGAGACTGTTTGACGTGGTTGGCTGTTCCATTACTGTTGAATAGGAAGATGCTGATGTTTCCTTTGGACTCTGTTTTAGAGTCATAGAATCATAGAATCGATTGGGTTGGAAAAGACCTCCGAGATCATCGAGTCCAACCCTTGGTCCAAATCCAGTCCATTTACTAGATCATGGCACTCAGGGCCACGTCCAATCTGCATTTAAAAATCTCCAGGGATGGTGAATCCACCACCTCTCTGGGCAGCCCATTCCAATGCCTGATTACTCTCTCTGTAAAGAATTTTCTCCTGATATCCAACTTAAATTTCCCCTGGCGGCGCTTAAGCCCGTGCCCCCTTGTCCTATTGCTGAGTGCCTGAGAGAAGAGACCAACCCCCACCTGGCTAGAACTTCCCTTCAGGTAGTTCTAGACGGTGATGAGGTCACCTCTGAGCCTCCTCTTCTCCAGGCTAAACAACCCCAGCTCCCTCAGCCTCTCCCCATAGGACTTATGCTCCAGTCCCTTCCCCAGCCTTGTTGCTCTTCTCTGGACCTGCTCCAGCACCTCAATATCCTTTCTGAACTGAGGGGCCCAGAACTGAACACAATACTCAAGGTGTGGCCTCACCAACGCAGAGTACAGGGGAAGGATCACTTCCCTGGTCCTGCTGGCCACGCTATTTTTGGTACAGGACAAGATCCCATTGGCCTTCTTGGCCACCTGGGCACACTGTTGGCTCATGTTGAGCTTCCTGTCAATTAGTACCCCCAGGTCCCTTTCTGCCTGGCTGCTTTCCAGCCCCTCTGTGCCCAGCCTGTAGCGCTGCAGGGGGTTGTTGTGGCCAAAGTGCAGGACCCGGCACTTGGCTTTATTGAACTTCATCCCATTGGAATCAGCCCATCTCTCAAGTCTATCCAGATCCCTCTGCAGAGCCCTCCTGCCTTCCAGCAGGTCGACACTCCCTCCCAGTTTGGTGTCATCAGCAAATTTGCTGATGATGGACTCAAAAGTCCTACCACTGTTTATGCAGGTAGAATTTTTTCTTCCTGGAGTAAACTGTTTTCCTATGACCGTGATGGCTTTTTAATTGGGCTGCAGCTGGTGCTGGATTTGTGCTGAATTGGAGACCGAATTACATCTTTAGAAAAAGCAATTTTTGTGGTTTTTTTTGTTTGTTTTTTTCCCCCCTTCAAAATTCAGTCTGGATGGCTGGGGTTCTTGCTTGAGAGTACCAACAGCTGGAGGCCTTCAGTTCCCGTCACTCCTGACTGCAGATCTGAACAGGTTTTGCAGCCCTGAGCTCAACAACCCACCAAGGGAAGTGTGGTTTGACACGAAGTGGGATGTTTCATGACAATTCAACTCCTTCTCTGTAAACCCAATTTATTTGCTAGTTCTGAGAGAAGGATGCTGCTTCTGACGGGTGCTTGCAAGAGGTGTTCATGAGGGAGGGATGGGAATGGCAAAGTCTAGTTTTTCAAATGAGACACCCTACAACTAAAAATCTACTTGATTGATGTGTGTTTCATTGAGCTACTTAGTGTATTGCAGCTTGTTATTGTCTTTTCCACTGTGCATATTTGAATAGAGACAGTGCTAATGACAAATCATTATTATACTATAAATAAAACATTATCCAGATTATGCTGGTCAACAGAGCATAAAACAAATAGCAAATTCTAATGTCCTTGAATTACAATTTAAAAAGAAAAGCAGCACTGGATGCTGATTTGCATGGAACACCTTTTCTAGTTGCTGTGAGAGTTTATCCAGTTGCATCAGGATAATTCAGGGATTTGCTCGTTCAGCACTGCCCAGTAAATTCTCCCTAAAAAGTGCCAGCCCCAGGGAGCTCAGAGCACACAACACTCAGCTCTGCTGTTTGCTGCCTTGCTGGGTTCTGTGGTACAGCATGGGCACCCCGTGTAAGGGCTCAGGGAGTGCCATGTGGGCAGAGAGCCCGCAGTGCTGGGGATCCAGTGACCAAGGCTGACGAATTCGTGGCAGGATCTGACCAGTGGTGAGAGCTGCAGGAAGATTTAAAGGCACAAAGGACAAAATCCTTCAGGGGAAAAGGAAAACCAAACTAAGTTACTTCCTGTTCAAGGTGAAATGATTTAAAAAATATGGATGTGCACAGTCCCTGCAGCTCTGTACAGAATGCTGGCCAAAATAAAAAAGTTGATGCTTGTCTGCGTGTCATGAATGAGCTTTTTATTGGGATTTTTTTATGAATATCCATGGATGGTGAGAAGAGTAGGATATGTATTTACCAAGAAGTTTAAATACTTATTTAATGGATTTAATATGGGCTCCCCAGGGAAGTGGTCACAGCACCAAGCCTGCCAGACTTCAAGGAGCACTTGGACAATATTCTTGTGCACATGGTGGGATTTTTGGAATTGTCTTGTGCGGGGTCAGGAGTTGGACTTGATGATCTCTGTGAGTCTCTTCCACCTCAGATATTCTTATGATTCTATGATATTTGCATTGATATAAATGTGTGCAAAACTATCCTGTTGAGATTTGTATTGAATATGGGATGTATATTAAAGGCTTCTAGATTAAGTTGCTGCTGTCATAAGTTGTCATTGCCCACTTGAAACTCTTCCCAAAAAAGGTATTTAATCTTTGAAGTTTTTGATTTAAAATCCTTTGAATAAGAGCCATAAGAGGAACAGTCACTGAGATTTGAAACTTGTCTGAAATAATCACCTGTTATACAGAAAAATCTTTTTAAAAATTTGGCCTGTTCTGTGTGAAATGAAATCAAAGTTAGTTCTGTTTATATGGGAAGTGTGAAATTTGACCCAATCAAGTCTGTCATCATTGGACTGTGTTTTGCTTACTTTGCTTGGTGTGAATAATTTCTTCTTAATCAGATTTTGACTGCAATAAGGTTTTAAGTGCTTTTATTTGCAGTGACTTTCTCAAAACTGATCTCAAAGAAAACTACTGCTTTGAAGTTGGTTTGTACAGTATTGCGATTGGAAAAAGTGTGGTGGTGAGTTCTCAGGTGTGATGGAGTTTGGTACCAAGGCTCCCTCCCTCTGCTCCTGCTCTGGCTGCCAGGCTGACTCCTTGAGCCAAGGCAGGAGAGCAGTGCGAGTTTCTCCCATCCTTTGTTTTCCTGAGGCCTGGAAACCTCAGCCTGGGAGGTGTCTGTGCTGCAGCCAGAGGATGTCTGTGGAGGAGGAGAATCCAGCTCCTGTTTCCATGTGAAACTGAGCAAGGGCTGAATCAGCAGTGGCCTGCTGTGTCTCCCAGCATGTTCCTGCTTGGGAACGTTGTCTAATTTAAACTAACCCCTTCACTTGCACAATTATTAAACAGTTCATGATTGTCTTCGTCAAAACATGCACTTCATTTCTCAAATATCACCTGAATAGTGCTGAACTCTGCCCAGGCCTGCACACAGTTCACCATAGCACATATTTAAATATCTCCTAGAAAAACAAATTCCAACTGGGGAAAAATGTTCAGTGACGTGTTGCTGTACCTTTGTGTCTTTATATATGCAACATTTAAAAAAAAAAAAATAAAATAGGCCAGAAGCAAGTGCCAGATTTAGTAAACTCTCTTTATTTACATACAAATACATGTACACATATGTGCTGTATATGTACACATATTTAAGTGTATATACATACATGGTTTCCACATACTCTACAATAAATAGCATGTAGGGTTTTCTTTTAATTGCCTACAGTGCTGAGTAAAAATACATGGCAATAAAATCATGGCTTACAGCTAAGTTACAAAAGCACCAACCACTGAACTCGTAGCAATAAATCCAAGCTCATGTACAGCTGGAGCGAGGACACGCTATACAGAATACAAAGTAGACCAACTTGTAGGAATTGACAGGAATAGGCCAACTAAAAAACATCATTATAGACCAGGAGAGACTCTGTATGAAATAAGATGAAGGAAAACATTTAGATTATTGATCAAACTAAACCACACATTTAAATTTGTCACCTAAAGAGGAAAACAAATCAGCCAGTTAGTCGTATATTTTTAACAGAGTAATTTTTCTGTGTGAGTCTCTACCAAGGAAATCAGAATTAATCTCATGAGTGAGTCCTTCCAAGCTGCCATAGTCACTTGTCTGTGTGCACATCACTCAAACAGAGTACTTTAATAGTGCTTTATTTAAACTGTGTGTAACTTCTTGAACCCTTCGTGCAGGTCTGATTGGAGGCAATAAAAAGCACTTCCTCAGCCAGCTTCTTCCACAGTACCTGTGACATCAAACTGTCACAAAGGGCCATGAGAGCAAATTGGCAGCAGCAGCAGGATCAATACCCAGAGAAAGCGCAGGGGATGGTGCTGGAACCTGCATTGCCAGAGCCAGCTGCTGTTGACTGTGGTGGGACAACACCTGTCCTGTTGAAGCAAAACCACAGCTGGACCAGCCATTATTCTAACTGCACTGGAGGGATTCTGTTCTGCACTAGGGAAGAGCCTGGCTGAATATATTAATAGTTTGAAACCTGCTTTATGAGGTGAAGATGCATAGATTTCTGTTGCTCTCTCTTTTTGTCGTGGCTGGTATTTTGACTCAAGGTGTGCAGTGCACTGCTAAGGAAGACAATTGGTGCCATGAAGCAGAAAGCCGCTTGTTGTTCAGGTATCCTTGTGCTGTGATGTGTTTTCCTTGCTGCAACATATAATGCTAAGAGGCTGGATAGCAAAATAATTGCTTCCTTTGCTTGGAAGCCAGCCCCTGTTACAGTCCTCAGACTTCATAGAATCACAGAATGGTTTGGGTTGGAAGGGACCTTAAAGATTATGTTGTTCCACCAAGGGACCAGGTTGACTTAAACAGAGATCACCCTTTTCCAAGCTTTTTATATATTCTCTATTGCTGTAAAACTAGCACTGGTGTGTATGCGAATGTTTGAGAAGAATCAAAACCAGTGGTGAGCACAGAAGGAAGGAATGTACACCACAAGTGCACACCTGAGGGGTCTAAAAAACTAAAGCTCATCAATGTCTAATTACATCACTGCATATCCATGGGTAAGAAGGCTGAAGGAAGAGCTACTCACTCTTCACTTCAATGAGTACCTACAGCTACTACAACTCATAAAAATGCAGATTCCTTTCCTTTTTTTTTTTTGTCCTAGATTTAGCACTTCCTCTTAGTATTTGGACTTGACTACTTGAGCCCTCTCTGTAACACTCTTTATGAAATCAGTGGTAAAACTCTTTATTTAGAGTTTCTATATGAGTAGCTGTGAGGCTGCTTCATCATTTGTTCTTTATATTGTCACCTAAAGTTCCCAATGAGAAATAGGATCCCGCTAAGTGCTGTCCAGTTTAAGTAAAAGACAACCTCTCTGCCATGAAGTAGTTTAAAACAGTGACTTTCAAGATCAACGTTCATTACAGACATAATTTTGTTTGATTTTTGTCACGTGCCTGCCTGGCAGTTCCCTTATGGATGACGACAAGAGCTAAAATGCAACGGTCCCAAATGAAAATGACTGATACATAAACAGTTTGATTAGTTACTATACGGCACAAACACAGCTACAGTTTTTTAAAGACTTTTTTTTTTAACCTGATAGGAAAAACATATTCTTCTCCAAAAGGTTAGTGGAAATGCTTATTTTTGTGACTGATGCTGACTGCACCGTGTCAGCCGGAGGACAGGTACGGCGTCTCGCTGTGGTAGTTGTAGTCAGGACAGACCTTCTGCACCAGTTTGTAATCGACGCTGTAGAAAGCGATGTAAATGCAGATGACCTTAAAGGGTTTGGAACACAACCAGGAGACATGGCTTTGGGTCTGCTCTTGGTAGCAGATCTTTGAAGGGTCGAAATTGCACAAGGCAGTTTTTTTAGCGCGGTCTGTTTTTTCGTACTCGATTCGGCAGTTGAAGGACTTGGATTCCTTGGTCTCCAGCGTTGACTGTGGAGATGGTTCAAACTCAACCACCTTGGAAGGTGGCACCAGGCTGACAGAAACATTCCCCAGACCCGTGGAGTTATGTCGGAAATAAACACTGAAGGTCCCATTGCCGTGATCGACGATTTTCCCCGTGATCAGGAGGTTCAGCTTAACAGTTTTGATGTTAGAGTGGAAATCGCCCCATCCAAACATTTTCTTGAATTTCCCAGTTTTTACTATAGGTCTGCGTTTAGTTCGTGCCAGAGATTCCTGAACCTCCGTGATGTTGGACAACCAATCCCAAAAGTTTTCTATGCTGTCCGAGTAGGACACCTGGCCGTGTTTCAGTACTGGAGATGGCTTAACAAACAGGCGTAAGGGGTTGATCATCCTGGAGTGGACCACGTTGTCAACCAGTGTCTCTGCAGCATCCTTGTCTTCCCAGTCCAGCACGTCCGCAGCTTGTACGACCTGATTGGCATCACAGAATACCTGTTTCAGAACAGAAAGAGGGAGCTGTGTAAAGTGTGAAAATAAAACGGTCGAGATAAAAAAGGAGCCATTAATATTTATTTTTACACCAGCAGGGTCTGTATCAGTCTAGTCACAGGTGGTTTACTGTAAAGAGTAATTTCTACTGCCCTGTGAAAGCTCAAGGATCTTACTCAAAATAGCCTGTAGAAGATACAAAAATCTCAACAGGAGCCATTCACTGGGGCAAATGAATAAACCTCTGGAAAGGTTGATGGCTGTGATGTGCAACAGCAGACAGACACCCTCTGCTCACAGATTTGTCAGAGGAAAACATGCCTGAAGAAAGTGGAAAACCTGAAGAGCAAAGTGGCCCATCTCCTAAAAGATGGAGTGAAATAGAATAGTGGGATTTTCCATTCCCCTTTGTTTTTCTCCCCACTTAATCTCCCAACTGCTTCAGGCTTAAAATCCTTTTCTGCTGGAATAATTGTGTCCTGAACTGTTTAGTGTACATTTGTCTTTTCTGGTGTTGCCTTCTCCATTTTTTCTAAACTTAGCCTGCGTGTTTGTGCTCGCAGCTTGACACAACAAAAATAACCATATTTTTGGTGTGCTGATTTCAGCTGCTCATCTGCCTATGTTTAGCAAGGCCCAGCCTTCCAGAGGTGCAGAGCAATCCCAGCCATGCAGCACAGCTCAGTTTTGGGAACCATGACTAGGCCAACCTAAGTCTGCAATCAGAAAGCAAAAAATTCCTTCTGGTAGCAACAGAATGGCCTTAGATTTCAGAGTTAAACATGCAACAACAAGTTCCCAACTGAACGTAGAGACACATTTCCCAAGTATATTCTTCCTGTTCACTCGGACAGAGAAGTCCTGTTGAAAATGCAGAACTGGAGCATATGTTTAAGAGGTCAGAAGCAGGATCTGTGTTTCAACTTTTTAGGTTGAAATGGAAGCTTTGGAGAATGTGTTTTCAGGGTTTGTTCTCTTCAGGACTGTCTTACACCATCATCCTAATGGACGAAGAAAAACTCTTTCATCTGCAACTATTCTTATAAAATGTGTGAACAGAACAAAGAGATGCTTAAAATGGAAAGAAAAAAGGACAGTGTTGTCCTGCTCATGTCCCTGGCGTTAAACTGCTACTGCCCCTTTCTCCTGGCAAAATGCTGCTCTTGCTTCATCTGGCAGTGCCAGGATCCCGGTGGTGGATCCCACTATAACTAACACACAGGATGGGGTTTTCAGTATCCAGTAGCAAGATTACAGGGTGGAAGTTTGCCTAAAGCAGTCAAAGCATTGAGCACAGACGCTGAATTGCATGGGGTGGGATTTTGTGCTTCCTGTCTCACTAGGGAAACTGCAATGCTGGGCTTGCTTTTCCCTCTGCTCCTGATCCCAAAGGGATCTTCTGCGCCTCTAGTTCCTAGAAGTGTTCCATTTCTATAATATCCAACTGTTATTTCTATAAATTGTAGTTTTTCATTTCATTATCTGGAAAAGATCAGAAACTCCAAAGCCTTTAATTTTCACTGGGGCCTGTTCTCCAGCAATAGACTCCAAACCAGAGCCCCAATCCACTTACCACATGTCCTTCCTGATCACCCCTAATGCAGTAATTAAGATTAAATGATGAACAGCAGCAATGTTCACAGCTGGAATGCTGAAAGGCAGCAATTGCTGTTGCTAAATCATAGAATCACAGAATGGTTTGGGCCGTAAGGGATCATAAATATACCTCATTCCAACCCCTGCCATGGGCAGGGACACAGTCCGCTATCCCAGGTTGCTCCAAGCCCCGTCCAACCTGGCCTTGGACACTTCCAGGGATGGGGCAGCCACACCTTCTCTGGGCAACCTGTGCCAGGGTCTCACCGCTCTCACAGTAAAGAATTTCTTCCTAATATCTAATCTAAACCTGCTCTCCTTCAGCTTAAGGCTATTCCACTTGTCCTCTCACTTATTTATCACTATAAATAAATCCATGGCTGGATGGAAATGCAGTGGTCAGGTGCGTCTCTGCAGAAATATGTTATTTCCTTCCTCAGATTAAAAAGGAGGGAAGAAAAGACAACAGTGATCACTCTCAGCCTGAGACCTTGTATGTCAACTTTCTGCCTCTATCCTATATTTTTTTATGGCTGAGCTATGAACCCAGGAAAATAGGAGATTCTAATGGAAACAGTGATAGATGCTGATCTGTACCAGCCCAAATAGCACTGTCATAATGATGCTGGGGGAAGCATCACTTCCACCGTGATGGAAAGCTCCTGGTGAAGCTCTGCCATGTTTATGTGTGTTTTTTCAGCCACTCTTAAGCCTGCACAAGCCCAAAATCAGCCTGGTGATGCTAAGGACAGGTGGCCACCCCCACTACTAGGGAAACCACTCCTCTGCTGCAAAGCAGTGACTGCTCAGATGAAGAAAGAAGTGCTGCACACATTTGCCCATCCTTCACCCCAAATCTGACCTGAGACCTTGAGAAGCACAAAAAAGAGACTTTTCTGCTGCATTTCCAGATTGCAGTTGGGACCAGGGGCCTGGCACTGCTGGAATATCAGAAACTTTCCTCTGTGTTTGCACAGCTAAATGATGTGCTACTTAAAATGCCATTCAAACCATGGGCACCTATAGCTGGTATTGCTGTTAGTAACTGAGCCATAGGAAAAGTGATTGGAAATTTTAAGGTGAAATGATGTAGAAATGAAGCTGTTTGATTCACAGGAGATTCTGGCTTTGCTTGTGTCTGCACCCAGCACTGACTGTCCTCTGGCAAGGGCACAGGAACACACTCAGTTGTCCTCCTGGGCTACTTGTCTTCTGCAATGTTTATTGAAATCCCTGCAATGGCTCTTTGGCTTTTCTCCTCTCGCCTTTTATGAGGAGATCTAGAGGATACTGAGTCATGTGCTACAGCTAATGCTCAATGTATGTCTCTTCAGGGGGCTCTCACTCCAAATGAGAAAGCAGGGCATTGCTTTCCCGACGGTGCTTTGCTGAAGGCTCTGATAGAAAAAGAAGAAATATGTGGGTATAAGGTCTGGGATGGCGGAAGGGTGGGAAACATCAATGCATGCTACAACCAGGTGGGTTTGCCACATCAATAACGTATTAGGGCACAAGTATTTCAAAACTGTGATGGTGAAATCGCAGAGTTGCATTGTGCTAGGCTACTACTACTGTTATTTATGTATGTGTTAACACCAAATGAGGTGTACTCATGGGATAATGAAATACACCCCCGGAGCTACAGTGACCTGGGCTATTTCACGTGGCAACACAACAGCTTTCATAAGAGGGGAACATGAAATCGTTGATAAGTTGAATTATAAGGACGTAATACCCCTGTTTAAAGCCCAGACAGCAATCACCAGCCACTGCTAAAAGTTGTATCTTACACTTAAGTATTTTTTTCCTCCTCCTTTTTGAACTACTTTTCAGGCTGTGGGATTCTCCAGTGTTGCCCAGCCTTAATTTTTGACTCTGATCCATCCTGGTGCTGTCTTGTTTCACTGATTTCATTAGAGGAGCGAGATTCAGAGGCTGACAGAGCTGTCAGCTCAGTGGGCTGCAGGGAAGGGACTTTGTGGGCTCGAGGTGGTATATTGTTTGTGTTTTGCAAATGTTTAGTAAAAAGGTGTCTAACAAAGAACCGCCCTGTTCTGCTCAGTGCCTGATGCAGGAGCACGAATGAGGGGGCATTGTTCAGAAATGTGAATAATAATTGTGCTTTTGTGATGTAAAACCTTTGTGGTGTGCAGATTTTTTTTCCCCTGTTTTGAATAAACCTTTCTGCAATATAAGAGAACCCAAAGGCCCTTCCCTGGATGGTCACATTTTGCTCCTAGCGAGGACAGGCCGATGCGCTTTGTTCATATGTTTATTCACTTTGCTTTAGCAATTTCCGGGCAATAAAAAAAAAATCTGTATTAAAAGAATGCAGCACATGCTGGAAAAAAATTACTTCCTCAGCATCTTTCCATTTCACTATAATGCATCTCTATAGTGAAAAATATTGCTGGTAGGGTATTTGAAAAATACTAGCTCAGGGAGGTTAGTGTGTCCATTTAAATAGATGGCTATTGCTGGAGTTCTCCTCTGCTGCACCTGCGTTTTCCCATTCCTTCCAAACCATCAATTTCCAAACAGAAGAAATCACCTAATCTTTTTCCCTATTACAGAGGCTGTAAAAGGGCACCCAGTTACCCTAAAATTTCCATTAGCCCGTAGATGTGTTCCAGTAAGAAGCACTGGGACCCATCCAGATGTGCTGTATCCACAGCGTGCCTTGCTGTTTTCTTTCACTACATAAGCCACGAGAACAGCTCAAACCACCGTGATGTGGTTTATGTTTATGGAGTTTTAAACTTTAAACCTTTGGTTCTTGCTGTGCCCTTCTCTGAAAGGTGGTGATTACTCTTCAAAACCTCCCTCTTCCATGCATGATCTTGACCATGGCAGAGCCACACGGGGTTAAATAACATCTACCATGAGATATTTTTTGAGAAATGAGCCTGCATTGTTGAGACACTGGTATCAATAAATGCTCTATTTTCTCTATTTGCCCAAATTTGGGTTCATTTGGAACTCATTCCCATGTCCTTCTCCGTGGGCAAGGCACTAAATAAAAGCAGGTGTCCCTGTGCAAGAGTTAATAAGTTTTGATGCTTTGGGAATTTTATCCAGGTTATTCATCAATCACCAGCAATTATTCCTCTGGCTTCACCCCTGCCAGGAACCATTTAAAAACTCTTGGCAATTAGCTGAAATGAACCAGTCTGTTGGAATAAACAGTTCTGAAGCACCATTTGGCCACTCACTGGTGCTGCCGGGAGCTTTTTATCCCACCGCTGGAGAGGAAGGGGTGATGGGAGGGAGGTGGTGTTCAGTCACCTCCTCTTGCCCCCAGTTACACCAGTGAACAATTCATACTGGGGGACGATTCCAGTGGTCTCTTCACTCTCTGCTGCTTCTGTGCCTGAGTGTCCCATGGGTTTATACTTGTGTCCCCTCTG